TAGACTGGAGCTAACTGAACAAACCTCTCCTAAGGGTTAAGTGACTAGGCAACAATCCCTCTCCATGTGTTGATCCCATGACCTCAGATGCCATAAAAAAGAACCTTGCCTTCTCCTGGGAGGTCCTAAGATCTACATTTTTACAAATAGATATGAGTTTTTCCTAGCTAGGTTAATCCAAATCACTTCAGTTTTGACAGTTAGTTTAGACCTAGTGTGATATGGGTTCAACATTGCCATAGTCGTCTTCATTGCTAGTGGTCTCCACCCAGAACTTGGGTATCAGGCATTCTTGAATTGCAACTGGAGTGAAAAAAATGGGGTCCCTCCGCCAGCTTGCCAGGAATGGAGCTAGTGGCTGTTTCTGCAGTTTCTGTTCCATTAAGGCTCTGGTGGTTGTTGTAGTCCTGAAAGGGTTTGTTTTCACTTTCCCTCCTAGGGATCTGAATTTATTTGTAGCAGGGCTCACAGGCCTTCCATTTCAGACCACTGCCGCTTGCTCTCCACTTCACCTTTCTGTCAGGACTTTTCTAGAGATAGTAACTTCTGCCAGGGGGATGGGGTCTAACAAGCAGCAGTAGTAGTTGTCTTATGTATTGTGTCCAAAAAAATAAAATGACTTTGAACCTCACCCCGTCCCTCATCAAATAATGAGCAAAAAGCAGTTTCTTAGTTCTGCTTGAAATCAGCTTATCTGCCTTTTAGTGTGCTTTCCTTGCATCACACATGAGCAAGAATGGAGAGAAAGGTCAAATCAGGCCTCTTCTACAAAGAACAAGTGCTTCAGAACTTCTTTCAAAGAGCTCTATTGCATAACAAGCAAGGTTTGGAGCAAGGGTGGGCAATTAATTGGGCTGGATGGCCACTTACTGAGTTTTGGTGAGCTTTTGCATGCACAATTGATGCTATCTGGGCCCATTTTCCTTACATTCATTGCTGGGGTGCTGGATGGAGCAGGTGAGCAAGCAGGGTCTCCATGTGGACAGGCCTGGGACCCCCACAGGCAGGGCACACTTGGTCAGGCAGATGGGATGGGGCCATGGATGGGTGTAGAGCAGCATCCAGGAGCAGAAGGTCAGGATTGCAGGCCGGTGATCGTGCAGGGTAGGGCCTGGGGCAGAGCCACAACCTGCTGCCCTCACAGACCTGCGACATTCCGAGGCAGTCCAGGCTGTGGCAGCTCTGTCTGGCTGCTGCTGCTGCTGCCAGCTCTGTGGAGTCTGGGGACATGCAGCCCTGCACCCACTCTGGACTTGCCCTGGCAAGAGAGGACCAGCTCCGGACCAGCTAGGACCTGCGTGCACAGCCCTGACTCTGGCCCACCCCGTACCTGCTCTTAACCCTCCCACCCACGATGAGCAGCAGTGGCGGCTGTGCAGAAGCTGTTGCTGGCTGTGGGGGAAAAGCGGTTCCAGCCCCTTACTGCTGCCAGGTCCTTCTTGCTGCTGCCACCTAGAGCCTGTGCCTGGACTGCCCTGTGGCTTCTCTTTACTGTCACCACTGCTCCGCTGGGTGGCTTGGATGCAGTGCTGGTGGCGGTAGTGATGACAGCAGAGGAGCTGCAGGGCAGCCTGGGCATGGGCTCAGTGGCATTGGCAAGGGGCAGGGGCCGCTTTTCTCCCATGCCCAGCAGTAATTTCTGCCCCACTGCCACTCGTGCGCAGATGGGTCCAGAGTGGGCGCAGGGCAGCTCGGGGTTGGGACTGCGCACGCAGGTCCTGGCTGGTTCAAAGCTAGTTTGGTTCAGCTGAGATGAGTCTGGAGTGTGTGCAGGGCAGGCTAGATCCAGGGCTGTGCGTTCAGCTGTTTCTGGGTACTGGTGATGGTGGCAGGGAGGAGTCGCAGGATGCGTGGGCTTGCCTGCCCCTACATAACCTAGACTTTCTAAGGTAAGATCGAAGTCACACAAATGTGGTTCCATTTTTTTAGCTTGTTCCTCTCTGATTTGGGGTAGGAGGTTTAAAGTGTGTTATGACAGCCAGCTTGGCAATATTTTCAAAGCCTTTATGATGCAACAATATGTTGAAAAAGCTTTTTGTGCCAATTCAGGGAGATGAGGACCATGTTGTAAGCCTGTGCTATGAGACTGTTCGTGATGGTCATTCAGTCCTGCTCTTCTGTCCATCCAAGAACTGGTGTGAGAAGCTGGCAGACATCATAGCTAGAGAGTTCTGCAACCTGCAGCTGTCTGAGAGTAAGAGGGGCAGAGGGAGGAGGCTGTGATATGCTGATCTATGCTGTGCCTTTGCAGCACAGTAGTCCTGCTAAGAGCAGCTAAATTATTCTTTCTTCCTCTTCCTCTTTTCTGATGAAAGGAAAAACTTCAAACCTTCCACCAATCCCCTTGAACAAAGAGGGAATAGAGGAGGTGATGGACCAGCTAAGACGATCACTCTCGGGTTTGGACTCTGTGCTCCAGCGAACTTTACCATGGGGAGTAGCATTTCATCATGCAGGTACTCCTGAGCTTCCTCGTTGCTGGGCTCCTTGGTAGCTGTACTACGTTGATTAATCCAGGGTCAGCTAAGATTCATGCCTGGCCTGAGAGAAAACAAGGCCTAAAACTACTATAAGGGTAGATGCTGCTTTGAACTGTACCTAGAATGGAAAATAATGAGGAATACAGGTTCAAGGCAGCAAATCACAGGACTTAGTGATAGAGAAACCATTAGCCCCCAGCTCTGCCACATACAATTCTCTTTTCTTATATTTCTAAAATACCTCATAGAATCATAGAAAAATAGGGTGGAAAGGACCTCAGGAGGTCATTTAGTCCAACGGGGCTCAGCCTCTCTTGCCCAGTGGGCCTGATGAACAGCCCAGGGGTGGTCTGCAGGACAGATTCTAAGCACGGGGCCATTTGGAGATGCAGTCCAGTCTGACCCCACACACCAGATTCGGTCATGGCTTGACTCTGTGCACCAAATCTGGCCATGGCAGGGCCCTGTGCCAGTGCAATCAGGCAAGTGGGGCCATGTCATCTGGGCTGTGGGGTTCTCCAGAGGTCTGGAAATTTGGTGGTAGGGGTGTGGTGACAGTGTTAATGGTCGTGGCTCTGGATCTGTTAACACATACCCTTTCCCTGCTACCAAATTTCTGGGCCTGTGGGGAACCTTGCAGACAAGATGACATGGCTCTGTGGGCGGTGTCCAACCCACAGACCAGAGGTTGAGCATTACTAATCTAATCCAACCCCCACCCCCCTAAAGGCAGGGTCATTCCCGACTAAACCATCCGAGTCAAGTGCTCGTCTAAGCTGCTGTTAGAGACTTCCAAGGATGGAGATTCCATAACTTCTATGGAAGCCTGTCCCAATGCTAAACCACCACCCTAAAAGAGAAAATTCTTCCTACTCTCCAACCTAAATTTCCCTTGCTTCAGTTTTAGAGCACTACTCATCCTGTCCTCTGTGTCACAGAGAAGTCTGTCAACATCCTCTTATAACCATTCTTCAGGTATTTAAAGACTATTATCAACCCCCCACTGCAGTCCTCTCTTCCCCAGAATAATTAATCCTAGTTATTTCAGTTCTTAAGTCAAGTTTTCCAGGCCTCTAATAATTTTTGTTGCTCTCACCTGGACTTTTTAATTTGTCCACGCCCTTCTTGAAGTGTGGGGTCTAGAACTGGACACACTATTCCAGGTGAGGCTGAATAAAGTGGAAAAATCACTTCCTTTGATTTGCAAGTGACACTCCTGTTAATACAGCTCAATATGCTATTGGCCTTTTTTTCCAACAACATGCAATATATGAAATAAATACCATGCTCTTCTTAATTTTCATGTTGTCTACAAATACTTTAGAGCAGTATTTCCCAAATCTTGTAGAAAAGTTCCCACAGTAATAAAGTCAGGTGTGCTTGCATATCCCTACTTCAGCAACTGGAATCGATTTCCCTGTGCCGGTGGGAGAAGCAGTGGCTGAAGTAAGCAGATCCTGTCAATTTGCTGCTGTTATTCATGTGTGTCCTGGTCACCCTCCCCTTGCCTCCGCCC